GGACAGACGAGTGACAGATGATGTTAGACCATGTGATGCTCTTTCTTCGTCTGCTAACCTCTCTGATGAAATCGAGGTGTACATAATGTTTATTCTCTCAGAAAAGAGAAGTTAAAGATGTGTTTCTGCTCCCATCACTGTCTCATCCTCCTCCTGGAGCTGCATGCTGAGTATTTCTCTCACACTTTGTCTTTCCTCAGCAGTAATTAGTGAACTGTGCGGCCTCCTCGGGCTGACAGTCGGGCTCCCGCTCCTCTGAACGCTCCGCTCGCTCTCACACAGCCGCCCATAATTCATCATTAGGATATCAGAGTCCAGGTGCAGATGAGAACTGATCGAGCCGGCAGCCGGGCACGTCGGGCCGCTCAACGAGGAAAATCTTATCCCAGGGACAATTCCCAGGTCACGGCCGCTCTAATTGAAATAATTTAGCCCCCCGAGTGGTTTAATCAGCGACGATCACAGAGCAGGGAGAAGTCAGCGGCGTGTACGAGCATCTCTCATGTCTCAAAGTCTAACAGTTGAGGAAAGAAAAACCTGGTTTGATCTTAGAGACTGAACACTCTCTCTCTCTCTCTCTGAGTGTCCAACATTTTCTCACTGAAAACTCTTTCCATTCAGCAGCAGCACAAAGCTTCTGAACGACTCAGTATGAACAGTGTGACTGTCTGAAGGTGATGATGAAGAGTAAAGGTGTGTTGGGCAGTTTGATCAGTGACATGGACTTTCTCCTGCAGCCTTCAGTAAAACTTCTCTGTGATGTCAGGACAAGCTGATGTGAGATCAGGGAAACATGATATATACCAAGCTTTGTGTGTGTGTGTGTGTGTGTGTGTGTGTGTACGTGTGTGTGTCGGGTGGGAGGGTGTTCAGCTGCCTGTACACAGGAAGCCCCCCCCCCCCCCTCAGTGTTATTAACCCTGAGCTGTAATTATGCAGATTGTCAGAGGTGTCGTGGGGGGGCTCTGTGCTGTGATGTGGGCTGGTTGTCGGCGTGGTGGGCAGACAAGCGGACGGCGTGCTTTACTGAGCTCGAACACATTCATCATGTTGACTGATGGAGGAGGGGGGGGGGCGCTCCCGGGTCCCGCTGGTTAATGTAGTGGGTAATTAACTGTCATTTGGCTCGTAATAGGCCCATGATCAATGACGGTGAGGAAACACACTCTGATCCTGCAGCTGATGAATGCACGCCAAGCACGCCGAGGCCGGGCAAGTGGGAGGGGGGAGGGAGAGGGAGGGAAGCGTTAGGCCGCCAGTGGAATATCAAATGACCCCCCCCTGTCTTTTTTTTTAATGGATTAAGCCAAAAAGCCTTGTTTGTTGCCCTCGATGGAGCTGAAGACTCAGCCAGGTGAACGAGCTTCATCTTCAGAGTCTAATGTTCAGCGTTCAGTTTGGAAGTTTCTGAATTACAAAACAACATTTTATCAAATGTTTGTATTCATCAGTTCATCCTTTCATTACTTCATCAGTTCATCCTTTCATGAGTTTTTGACGTGTGTGTGTGTGTGTGTGTGTGTGTGTGTGTGTGTACTATAATAAACACACTGTGTGAGTTTTTTAACCAGAGATCATCTATTAGCAAGAGCTGACACACTGCTTTATGTTTTTAACACACACACACACACACACACACACACACACACACACACACTCGGCCTGCAGAGTCCTGAGGGTTTATCATTACGCTCTATGATTTGAAGATGTGAGGAGTAACAGCTCCTCTCTGCTCTCCTGCTCTGTGTGTGTTTACATCTGTGTGCTAAAGAAACAAACTGACGAGCTGACCATGAAGCTGCTTCACCAACATCAGCTCACACATGCAGCTCATCGTGGACACTGTCAGGACTTTTTCAGGAGTTTGTGCATGTGTGCACAGGCTGCATTGTTTTCTGTGGGCTGAATAAAGAAGCTGTGATAATCCAGTAGGGTTGTGTCTGGTTCTTATTAAGGTCAGAGTCACATGAAGACTGAAAGTTAGCCTTTAGCCTCCTGTGATTCTGTAAACCTGCTAACTACTCTTCTCTCTTTTTACACAGATCTATAGAAATAATGTCTCTTCTTTTTGTCTGTGTGTGTGTGTGTGTGTGTTTCTCAGGTTGTTTGGAGTAACAGGAAACTGTGCGGCGTGCAGTAAACTCATCCCGGCCTTTGAGATGGTCATGAGGGCCAAAGAGAACGTGTACCACCTGGACTGCTTCGCATGTCAGCTGTGCAATCAAAGGTGAGTCATGTGACCTCTGCTCACCTGTACCTGCAGTCTGAGGAGAATCTCAGATGATCACAGATTAGTATCACACACACAATACAAATGTGTGTGTGCTCAGAGTCAGCTCAGAGCTACAGGTGAGACTATCTGTGTCCTCTCAGAGCCCCGTTTATACCTTTGAGAGCTGCTGGGTGGAGCATGAAGCAAATCACGTCTGACTTCCTCGTGTCAAAGTACCCCTATGTTCCTCGTGTTAAAGTACCACGCTGTTCCTCGTGTCAGAGTACCCCTATGTTCCTCGTGTTAAAGTACCCCGATGTTCCTCGTGTTAAAGTACCACGATGTTCCTCGTGTCAGAGTACCCCGATGTTCTTCGTGTTAAAGTACCCGATGTTCCTTGTGTCAGAGTACCCTGATGTTCCTCGTGTTAAAGTACCCCGATGTTCCTCGTGTCAAAGTACCCCGATGTTCCTCCTGTCAAAGTACCCCTATGTTCCTCGTGTCAGAGTACCCCTATGTTCCTCGTGTTAAAGTACCCCGATGTTCCTCGTGTCAGAGTACCCCGATGTTCCTCGTGTCAGAGTACCCCGATGTTCCTCGTGTTAAAGTACCCCGATGTTCCTCGTGTCAGAGTACCCCGATGTTCCTCGTGTTAAAGTACCCCTATGTTCCTTGTGTCAGAGTACCCCGATGTTCCTCGTGTTAAAGTACCCCTATGTTCCTCGTGTCAGAGTACCCCGATGTTCCTCGTGTAATTATTATTAATAATAACGATAATGTGAGATTTGTAAACATCCGACATGCTTCTTTTGGTTTTTATAACATGATGTTGAGGAACGCTGGGGCTCCAACAGATCGCAGCAGGGGGCCACAGATAATCAATGGAGCTGTCGCCCAGGGGGGGGGGGGGGGGGGGGGGGGCTCTGATAAGGAGGAGACTCTCTAACACACTGATTGGGTTCAATCAGCCTCTGGTTCCTGTGCCACTGTTCAGCTCGTTAGACCAATCAGAGGCTCGCTTTGTGCATCATCAAATCAGAGCCCAGAGTGTGTCCTCCTGAAGGCAGACTTCCTGATCTGACAGTGAGGAGGGGGAGTGGCCTACAATGATTAAAGTCAGATGTTGTTTATTCTTTAATATTCTGGTTAGAAATATTAAACCTGGATCAGTGTTTCATAAAGCTGAGGATGACCCCCGGTTACCAGCACACTGTTGTGTACTGTAGTGTATTGTTGTGTGTCCTTAGTGTGTTTTAGTGTATTGTTACAAGTTACAATTCACTTAGCAGATGCTTTTATTCAAAGCGACGTACATCAGAGTAAGGCGATGACTCTACTCTATGACTCAACTGAGCCACAGCTGCCCCGCCATATTGTTGTGTGTTGTAGTGTATTGTTGTGTGTCTTTAGTGTGTTTTAGTGTATTGTTGTGTGTTCTTAGTGTGTTTTAGTGTATTGTAGTGTGTTGTTGTGTGTCCTTGGTGTGTTTTAGTGTATTGTAGTGTATTGTTGTGTGTCTTTAGTGTGTCCTTAGTGTGTCTCCTCGCTGAGTGTGAGTCCTGATAATTGGTCCCTGATGGACGTAAAAAAATCACGCTCTCTCTCTCTGCCTGCAGCGCTGAATAAAAGCTCAGCACATACCTGAGCTCCTGCAGCAGCAGAGATGTTAGCATGCAGGGAGTCAGAGGAGGTGAGCCCCTCCTCCTCCACACCACCCCCCACCCCCCACCCCCCCACACCACCCCCTGTAAACACTGCCCAGTGTTTGCAGACCTTGTCCAACCTGCATGCTGAGCGAGATAAGCGGCCCTCAGGACAACACGGAGCCCGACGCTAAAACATAATCTGTACTTGGTGCTGTGCTCAGAGGTCAACTGTTCTGTTACTGTACCCCCCCCCCCCCCTCGCTGTTTGAGAAAGGGGGTCCTCTCCACCTGCAGCTGTGTCAGCCCCCCGGCCCCCCCACCTGTTGTGCTCCAGAGATCATCATTTTAACCCCCCTCCCTCTAAAACTGAAAAACCTGCATACTCTTATTGCCCGATGATTTTTCATCATAATTACGAAGCTAGCAATGCTACATCTATTAGCTTACAGCTACGTGCTAATGTTGAGATCATGCTCTGATGCTAATGCTACACCCTCCCTCTCTCTTTGTGCCCCCCACCCCAACCCCCATGTGTGCTGCAGGTTTTGTGTGGGAGACAAGTTTTTCCTGAAGAACAACATGATCCTGTGTCAGACGGACTACGAGGAGGGGCTGATGAAGGAGGGATACGCCCCCAGGTCCGCTGACCCAGCCCCCACCCCCCCCCCCCCCCACCCCCCTCCCCCGTGGACCTGCAACAAGGAGGGAGGAGGAGGAGAAACTGAAGGAGAGCTTGTAATCAAACTTAAAGCACTATGGCCTCCCCTCCTGCCTCTGCCCCCCAACATGTAAATATCCTCCCTGATGAGGGGGGGGGGGCGCACTCTGCACAGAATAGCCATAGACACTCTGTGAGGGGGGGGGGCACTCTAAAAAGCGGGAACAGGATGAAGATAAAAACTGTACATTTTTTTAACCCCCCACCTCTAAAAAAGAAGCCAAACCTCCGCTGTGAAGGACTGACAGAGACCCCCCCCTCCCTCTCCCGACAGCCGCAAGATTTAGCGTCTACTTGAAACACACAGAGGGATCATTAGCCTGAGAAGAAGAACTTTGTATTATCTGATGTCATAAACACACTGAGGGTCTGATTCACTCACAAAATCGCAGTCTCTAATAACTCCATAACTTATTCATCATGGTCTCTGAGTCTAACTCTCAAAGCATATAGCTCTGATGATCTTCAGACACAAACACAGTTAGCTCTTTAGTGTGTGACGGTGCAGAGAAGCTATCTGCAGCTTTAGAGGATACACCCTAAACATGAGATGACTTTCACCGTTTCAAACAAAGCTTCCTCTCCTCGTCCGTGAGTACAACTCGTTTTACAATGAGGCTGATTTACAGAGAAAGAGACGATTGTTCCTCTATTGACTGAATAATGGATCATTTAAACACAAACAGCAGAGACACTCAGAGCTGCAGTTTGCTCTGCAGAGCAGTTAGAGGAACATTGAACCCTTTGCGTGTCTTTTTGACTCTTTGCAGGTTTAGAGGGATGAAAAGCTTCACAATCCTTCTGTGAATCAGACCCTGAGTGTAACGTGAAGAGCCGAGCCTTTATGTGATGAATTAATCAAATTTCATCGTGACTGATCAAACTCCTGCAACGTGTGACGACTTGAATCTTTAATATGTTGTTAGGAGTCGGTCAGTCCTGAGGGCATGAACAGCTCAGGTTCAGACAGACAGGAGATCATTCTGTACACTGACTCTGGATTCTTGCAACCCTTCTCTGGTCAAACAGCATTGTGAGTAACACTGGTGGAGGCAGGTAGTCATACTGGTCCTACTGGTCCTACAGGTTGTACTGGTCCTACCAGTCGTACTAGTCGTACTGATCATCTGGTGGGGGTTGTAATCTTTTTATACACTATTTATTTGATCATTATTCATCACATGTCCAGATTTCTGTTTGGCTGGCTGATACTTGAATCCATTGTTTGGTTTGTGTTGAAGACGACAGCTTGAGGTTCAGTGAGCTGCACTCTGCAGCGGGTCAGCCATCTTTAAAAAATAAAATAAAAATCTTGAGCTGGGTTTCCCCTGAACATTCCTGGGAAACAAACCTAACCTTATGAGTAAACTCTCAGAGTCAGACCCTGAAGGAAGTTCCTGAAGTGGAAACACATCTTTAGTCCCCTGTAGGACCCGTCAGCCTCCACAGGTCTCTGCTGCAGAGTCACAGTCACACCAAACTTCAGTATTCTATCAGTATTAGAAATCTACGATCACTGACAATGAAGAGCACAATGCAACGCTCTGAAGTGTTCCATCATGAGACCCACAAACAAAACCAACTCCACAATCAACAATGGACGTCTGCTGCAAATAGAACAAAAGTACAAACTAAAACATTGTTTCTTTACAATCATTCTGAAAATACACGATCACATCAACAAATAAAGAAAACAAAGCAACAGAAACATGGTGTGTATCAAGGCTCCGTTCTGGAGTTGGAGTGTTTCTGCATGTGGAGAATATAAAAGTCACCTGGTTTTTGCAGCGTGCTTGCTCTTATTGTTCACAATAAAAATCCCTCTGTGTGATTCAAACACACTGAACGTGTCTCAGCTGCAGAATCACAGAAACAGTTGTAAATTCTGTGTGTACATAAAAAGAAGGATTCCTTTTGCTTGCTCTTGTACAACGATTTCTTTCTCAGAGTCATCCAGCATGAGATGTTTCCTTGGAGGACCTCACCTGTAAATAATGTAATTGTAATAATTTTAAGCACAAATGTAATACAGTTTTATTGTGTACCCTCCGACTCTGGACTCTTTATTATGACATGTTTTTCTTTGAGCAGGATGTTAGATTTTTTTCATATCATTATGGAACTTCACATGATTTATGAAGGTCACCTTCACTTATGCAGTGAAGGTGAAGTGTTAAGCTGAAGGGCACAGTGCTGACATCTTGCAGCAGAGCACATGCAGCAGAGCATCATGCAGCAGAGCATCATGCAGCAGAGCATCATGCAGCAGAGCATCATGCAGCAGAGCACCATGCAGCAGAGCATCATGCAGCAGAGCACCATGCAGCAGAGCATCATGCAGCAGAGCACCATGCAGCAGAGCATGCTGCAGCTCTCTCCGTTGATTGATCTTAAGTGGGCTGTTTCCTCACTTTGTCGTCTCTCTGACTGTAAAATCTCTGCAGCGTCGGATGAAAGCAGCTCAGGTTGCACAGCCTCATCTGCAGGGTCTAAACTCCTCCATCTTTTGTTCAGCTCCAGGAACTCAAACACTGACATCTTCTAACACAGAAGTTTGTTTTCTGTTCTGGTTGTGTCATGTGAGTCAGACATGGAGACAAACAAAGCTTCATTTAGAGTTCGTCGTCAGCAAAGAGAGAGAGAGCGAGAACCCGAGATAATTACCTGGATTTAATTTACAGAGAAGGAACGAGGAGGTAAAACATTTGGATTATTATTACTTGTTACTCTAATTAGTGAGCTGCTTCTAAAGCACCCCGTGAAGTTTGTCCACAGACATGCTTACATCACATTACAGCCCTAATATCCAGGCCAATTAAGCTAATTGAATTTCTTACCCAGAGAGAGAGCGAGACAGACGGAGAGGAGAGGAGACAAGAGAGTGAGAGAGATTTGGTCTGTACCTTTAAGCTTCCAGAAAACCTGCAGAAATACGAACATAATGAACGCAGCGTACAGACAGAAGGCTCCGTCTGTGTCCGTATACGTATCAGATGTAGAACATTAATGAGCCTGAAAGCCTCTGATTTGCCAGTTCATGCACTTTTACGCCCCTGTCATAAATCACCGTTCACGCTGCTGAGCCATCATCAGAGACATTCTTTTATCTACCAAAACGTTGCGATGTATACATGCACATTGTAGAAGTGTGCAGGACTTTACCTGCAGTTTTTGATCATTAAAAACAATACATGATCCAATATTGTGTTTGGGGCTTCTTTTTCTGTTGCTGGTAATCAAACATGCATCTTTGATTTCTCCTCAATCATATCAAAGTGAATAAATCTGATATCGTTATGAGCCTTCTCCTCTGTCTGCATGCTAACAGAAACTAAAACAAACACTCTTATCAAAGTGGGTATAATGCATTAAAGAGTAAAGACCCTGCTACTCTGAGAGCTGATGAAGCACAAACAGAGATCTGAACCCTCTGCAGTCATTAGGAACATTCACAGGAAGCATTAGCTGCCAGGCTGCGTATCGTTAGCGTCTTCATCCCTGTGCTATAGCTGACCCTGGAGTTAGCGCTGTTAGCCCCGCTCTGCTCTGCCAAACGGCTCCAGGGCCAAAAATAATGATCTGTACAGACATGCCAATGCTATCTGCAGCAGATAACGCCGCTCTAATGACTCCTCATCCTTCGGCCTTTCAAGGAGACGGTAGCCCGGCGAATATCTCCCCTCTGTCGGCTCATTAGCTCGTTATAGCTCGGATAATGGACTTTAGTATTTTAGGTCTGATGTGAGTGAACAGTTCTCTGAAAGATCAGAGTCAGAAACACTGCACAGGTCAGCAGGATGCACCGACCAATCACAGGCTGGGTACTAAAATACATCGACTCTATTAAAGACAAGACATTGTAGCCCTCTCAATGTTAAACTCTTTGTTTGAGTCATGAAGTTATTTATGAACAATGATCTCACTGCTCATTATGAACTCAACACACAGCTGAACACGTCCTCATCCGGTCTGAACAATTGACTATCAATATTCATGTTTGAAGCCTGTGTGGTGTCAACTGTCTGTTCCTGCAGGGGGGCGCTGGAGTCCCATCGATGGCGGTCTCCATGCTGGAAATGCTGTCTCCTAACTTTCAGTCAACCTAACAACAGGCTGAGAGCTGGAGCTGAGGCAGGTTTTAAGCCTTCTGACAAACTGTACACGGCGCCCGCCTGTCAATCAGGTCAGCTACACGCCTTATTGCGAATAATTCTTATCCTTCATCAAATCAAAACTGATGAGTCATCAAAACATTCACCCCCCGTACAGTGTGTGTCGATCGAGACATGAGCTAATCAGACCTGTTTTGTTTTTTTAACCAGGCTGTAAACATGTTGAGCTCTGCTGTAAAAACAGGCTTTTAGAATGGGTGTGAATGTGACTTCCTGTGCTTCTGCAGCCAGCCTCTAGTGGACACTCGAGGAACTGCAGGATTTTACACTTCAGCATCGTATTCATTTTACAAGAGCGAAGGTTGCTGCTTGGTCTGAAGTCTTTAAAACCTGCAGTCAGCAGACGGAGGAAACACTGAACAGCAGCAGTGATGTACTTCGTTACAACGTTCTGTAACTTAATAATATACGAAGCTGCTGGATTTCTCTTATGTGGACGATAATGCATGAATCTTAGTAGTATTATCAGATGTGGTTTTTTTTTCTGTTGAGCATTTTGAACTCTTTAATAAAGAAAGAGTGTTTACAGAATAAAACTGACCATGCTGGTGTTTCTGAGACGCACAGTTAGCATCCTGCTGACACATGTTCCAGCTTTAATCAGACCGGGTCAACTTCTGGTCCAACAACACATCAGACGTGTTCACATCTCTGAACAACCTGTGTGCCGTTAGCTTCAGATTAGCTTCAGATTAGCCTTTGATTAGCTTCAGATTAGCCTTTGATTAGCTTCAGATTAGCCTTTGATTAGCTCCCATATTAGCTTCAGAGGTTGAGGAGCTGATGTTCTCAGAGATGTTCTGCTTTGATGTTGAAACAGTGAACTGAACCACATGTTCAAGTAGACCTTAGAGAGCAGGTCAACCATTACCACACACACACGCACACACACACACACACACACACACACACACACACACACACACACACACACACACACACACACACACACACACACACACACACTAAAGGCCTATAGTCGTGTTCAGAGGAACATTAATGCTGTTGTTTATTCATTAATAAATAAAGTTTCACTTCTAGATTTTAGACAATGTGAGAGGAGAAAGGATGTACAACCAGGTTACAGATTTCTCAGTTGAAACAGAAACTTTTTGAGGGGAACACACACACTTGTACCTGCAGCCTGTCTCTCTCTTTCTCTCTCTCTCTCTCTCTTTTGGTCCCTGCAGTCTCTCTCTCTGTCTCTCTGTCTCTCTCTCTATGTCTCCTCTTCAGTGTGAGGATGTGTTTTCATCATCTTTTGGCCGCCTCCTCTGCTGACCTTTGACCCCTCCTCTCAGGTTTGTCATGTCCCGCCCACGCACAGCAGCAGTTTGGAGTGAATCACTTTGGGATGAACATGTGGGCAGAAACACAGAAGAAGTTAGAAACTGTGTTTGTCTCTGCTGACGATCTTTTCTGCATGACAGTCTTCGAGGAGCTGAACGTCTCTGAGCCTCACAGGACGTCTGACATTATATTCAGAGCTTTTCATGAATCCTTCCACTTACATCTCGTCTAAAGTGAGGTAGTTACCTTATTATTCCAGAGCCTGCTCTGTCCTCTGTGTTTGTCTGCACTGGGAGAGCACCTGCACAGTCCTCCACAGGTGGGTTTGAGACCTGGATGTTAAAGCGTGCTCTCTCTCTCTCTCACTCACACACACACACACACACACACACACACTCACTCTCAATCATCCCTACACCAGATTTTTCTGTTTGGCTTCAGCTGTCTCTCTCACCATCACTGAACCAAATGTGTCATTGGATGAACATTCAAGGTTTTTATGTTAACTGTGGATGCCCCATCAAACCAGATACCCTAGGTCTGGTTTTTAAAGGTATGCCTCCTCCTCCATCTATACTCCTCCTCTTCTCCCCTACCTCCCCCCCCCCTCCCTGCTCACCTCTCTTCCTCCTGAACTCTCAGGCAGCAGAGGAAACAAGGGGAGGAGGATAAAAGTGTAGGAATGGTAATGATGCAGAGTAATGATTTCCCTGGAGGTGATCTGATCTATCGCCGGGGGGAGAGAGGGAGAAGAAAGGCCTGAGGGGAGGAGGCGGGAGGAGGGGGATGCACATCAGCATTTCAGGCAGCAGCACCTCACATACAGGAGGGGAGGAGGGAGTGGGGATCTGCTCAGGTTTAAAGGGTGAGGAGCTGGAGATGAAATTAAAGAGCTGAGAGCGATGATTTAACAATGTTCAGAACTCAATAAGAGCAGGTAAACAACAAATTACACCTGTGTGTGTGTGTGTGTGTGTGTGTGTGTGTGTGTGTGTGTGTGTGTGTGTGTGTGTGTGTGTGTGTGTGTGTGTGTGTGTGTATTGATCCTTCACAGTGAACCTCCTCACTGAGCAGCTGCTGCTGCTGCAGGAGAGAAACCAGCCTCAGATTCACCTTTTTCATTTTCTCTGAAACATCACAAATCATCACTTTTTTTCAGATTATTCTCTGCAGGGACGAGTAAATTCAGACACACGCAGCTTTGTATGTTTACAACCGTATGTGGGCCGTCAGGGGGAATCAAGACGCAACGGCCAAGAACCATTTGTACAAAAAGTCAGCAAGCTGAGAAACGCTGCAAATTGAAAATTATATTTGCCAAAGTGTCAAACGAATGCAACGAGGGAAACACGCTGAAAAAAAAAGAAATGAGTTGCAAAAAAAAAAAAACACACGAATGAACACTCAGCAAATACTTAAATGATGCCAAATCAGAACACACAAACAAAACAAATCATCAGTGCTCCAGGCCTGCAGGGGGCGCCCTTTGTTTACTGACAGGGTTTTTATTGAAAGGAGAGAGAGGGATGGCAGGATTGGTGGTACAAATCAAAACTTTAAGAGTTATTTAAAAAGAGGCAAATGTCGTCGTCCTCCAGTGTTTAAAAAATGAAGTGAATCTAAATATGGCAGTTCCTCCAGTGTCCACTAGAGTCTGTCTCCTGTAGTGAGTCAGTCCCCATAGAGCCCCATGTTAAAATGTTTAACTTTACAAGCAGAACTAAACATGTTTACAGCCTGGTTCAAAACTGGTGTTTTTACATCGAGCACTGTAAACAATCCTACACTAAGAAAACAGAAACAATGTTCAGACTGGGCGAGAATGGTCTGGTTGTACAGACGGGTCATCCAAAAAGAGATGGCTGCCACAGGAGGACAGACTCCGCCCCCACTGTGACACCCAACAGGTAGAAATGGAGCTCCTCTTCCTCAGATCATACACCAAATATCAGACTGTGAGAGAGGAATACTTCCCCCTAATCACACACGTGCATTCTGAATTTTAACACATAATACACACACAAAAACACAATAACTACCAAATCTGCTGGGAGAAAAAAAACTGAGATATGTGCAAAATTTATCCCAGCCTGTCAGAACCTGACATCAACCAGTTGAACTTGAACACACACTTATCCATCTCCATCGCTCTCTCTCTGTCTCGCTCTCGCTCTATTTCACCCTCGCTCTCGCTCTCTGCAGTAAACAGATCTGAGATCAGCTCCGTCGTCTCCTCAGAGGACGAAGGCTGCTCTCAGTCAGAGTGTCTGATCTGTCAGAGTCTGATGGTACAGGTAACACTCCCCTCCTCCTCACCTGAGAGATGAACCAGTGATGAATTCAAACTCTGTTACATCATGTCGGACTGACACTGAACAACACACACTTCATACATCACTGTTTGAAGGAGGAGGAGTTACAGATTGTTGCTTTAGGACCTGTTCATGTGAATAAATCACCAGAACATCAGTTTGTTTTTCAGCTTCATACCTCTGAAGGGTTCCAGAGTGAAGCTCTGAAGTTTATATATATAATATATAGACGTCATATATATATGAATATAAAAGTCTATATATATACGATGATAGACGAAGGTTTCTGAGACTGCTCTGAAGTTTGATGACTGATTAAGACGTCTGTGTGTGTAACAGACCTATTAATCTATTTCTATTAATAATGTCTGAATAAAGAGCTGAGAGGAACTGTGTGTGTGTGTGTGTGTGTGGTGTGTGTGTGTGTGCGTGCGTGCGTGCGTGTGTCTCTGTGAGTGTGTGTGTCTGTGTGTGTGAGAGTGTGTGTGTGTGTGTGTGTGTGTGTGTATGTGTGTGTGTGACAGGTCTAAATGATGTTAATAGAGTGTAATAAAAAGCACTTTCTCCTGAGTGTCTCAGTACTTGCAGGTGTCAGGATGATGTAGAGTCTCACCTGCAGCTTCGGTTGGATCTCTGAAATATTTAAAACAGCTTTTGATCGCCCGCACACTGATGAAGGGTGGAGGAGAGAGAGAGAGAATGAAGCAGTTTAATGAAGCAGATATTAGACGGAGTGAGGAACATTTTAATGAAGAATCTTTTATTTCTTTTATTATAACATCACAGAGTTATCGACAAACACTAGCACGCTGTTCAAACACAAATTAAACCTTTGTGTTTCACTGTGTGCTCGTAATGACGTCTGTAGAAGACCAGAGTTATCATCCAAGGACTCTAATTAATGTAACACACACACACAGTGACACACACACAGACACACACAGAGACACACACAGAGACACACACACAGACACACACACAGACACACAGACACACACACACACACACAGACACACACACACACACACACACACACACACATAGAGACACACACAGAGACACACACACACACACAGACACACACACAGACACACACACACACACATAGAGACACACACAGAGACATACACACACACATAGAGACACACACAGAGACACACACACACACACAGACACACACAGAGACACACACACACACATAGAGACACACACAGAGACATACACACACACTCTCACACACACACACAGACACACAGAGACACACAGAGACACACACACAGAGACACACACACACAAAGGAAAAGTAATGACAGTGAGGCTGTTAATTTTCCTCTGTGGTTGTTAATTGAACGTTTCCATTGTAACTATGACACACTGACGATTGATTGGCTGATGGCTCCTCCCCGTTTCCCCCCTCCTCCCCCTGTGGTCTAACATGGCCTCTGCTCTAAATAGAGGAGGAAACAGTCTGAAACAGTGAAGGTATAAACGCTGTGACGGAGGAGGAAACAGTCTGAAACAGTGAAGGTATAAACGCTGTGAGGGAGGAAGTAACCCTGTCAAATTCAGGAGTGGGGGTGGGGGTCTCGGCCTCTGTGTTCAATTACAGCTCACAGGAAGTGAATCAATAACATTTAAATTGGTTATGGAAATCACCTGCAGGCCTGAGATCAGCAACAATCTGCTGCCCTGAGCTGAAGGTGGACGGCAAGCTGTGAGGGTCAAACTGGATCAGAGATCTGATGCTGGTTTTGTTTAGATTCGGATATGGTGTTTACATGCACAGACACAAAAACAGGATTCTTAAAATAAAACTGATTTAATCTGTGATATTCAAATCAAGTCCATGGAAACACACTCAGCTAGAAAACCAAATCCAGAACAAAGAAGAGGAAGTGCTGAAACACAACTTAAGATTGATTTTAACAAAACACACACACTGACACACACGCGCACACAAACTGTGTGTGTTGTGTCCTGGTGAGGAGCTGGAGTGTTAACATGGCGCCCTCTAGTGGAGAAAACTGTCACAGCAGCCACAGAGAGGAGGAAACACACGGACAATAAGGAGCCAATGAGATCACAGATCTTCAACAGCTGTGTGTAATAATAATAAATAATATTAAGACATAATCAGTGAGAAGAATGAACTCTTTGTTTGTTTTATCAGCTGCAGAGTTTAATGAGACTTTCTTCATTGTCATCGTCACATTTATTTATCTCTGGCTCACATAAAGAAAGTCTTCATAATTAAATTTATGGATGAAATATGAAGACTCATATTTAGGTGTTATTCTGCTTTAATGAAACAGCTGAAAAGTGTTATAGAGAGAAAAGTGGTTTAATTACGTCTGAGATGAGATCACTCAATCTCGTCCAATTAGAGAGAAGGATTAATGAAAGACCCAGAAGCTTCTACAATCAAGCTTCATCCCTTAATGACACATCCAGCAGTTACTTTCGAATCAAGTAAAAAAACCAAAAAACTCTGATATAAAACTTTATTTAAACACGTTTACAATGACAACAGATCTGCAGGTCGGAACATGACGAACACATACAGAACTTAAAAAAGCAGAAGTTACATCAAACTGAATTATGAAGGAATGAGAGGAAGGAGAGCAGGTCCAGGTCTCTACAAGACCAGGACGGAACCCTGCAGGTCCAGGGCTAAGTCGAGTAGGTCCAGGTCTCTACAAGACCAGGACGGAACCCTGCAGGTCCAGGGCTAAGTCGAGTAGGTCCAGGTCTCTGCAGGACCAGGGCTAAGTCGAGTAGTTCCAGGTCTCTACAGGACCAGGAACTAGCCGAGCAAGTCCAGATCTCTACAGCACCAGGAACTAGCCGAGCAGGTCCAGGTCTCTACAGGACCAGGACGGAGCTAAGCACTCGGTAGGCCATGGAGAAGGTGCTGAGCATGCCGATCATCCAGGACAGAGCTCTGCATGGCTGAGGCAGAACACACACGTAGGACAGGGTGTGGAAGATTCTGGAGCCGGCGAAGACTCTGAAGTGGAGCAGAGCGCTGGAGAGAGAGGGTCCTGTCAGGGTGTAGAGCAGAGCGATGACCACGAAGGGAACGATGTTCTCCAGGTCGTTCTGATGACACCTAAACAGCAACAACATCAACATCAGGTACATAACAAACACAAGCCAAAGAGAATGTACAGAGAGCGCGTAACAGTGGAGGACTGATACGTCTACTTCCTGTTTCATGTCAAGTCACACAGACTGACACCTGTATTTGTATCCACTGGTATTAAAGAACATCACCAGTAAATGTGGTTTGTCTAACCCTGCACACAAAGAGCCGCTTCAATGATTTAAAATATGTTTGTGTTTATTCTAACAGAGACTCTGTTTCACGTCAGCTCCAAAGTCCTTAATGTGGTTTCATACAGCCTGTAGTGGAAAGAACGACGTTCAGTAGACAAGATATTATAGATATGATTCATGTTGGATTGAAGGTTCAATTAAGAAGAAGATTAAGATGTGTTGAACAGGACTGCTGAGGTCACATATTATAAAATCCCATTCCCCATGTTCCTCTAACTCTAATATGTGTCTCTAGTCTGTCTACAAACCCCCCAATGATGAGAAAAGTCCATCCTCTCCGACTTTTGCCCGCTCCACTTTTCAGAAAATGTGTGCTCAAACAGGCTGTTTGGAGATTTTCCCTTCATGACATCACAAAGGGCAGTAGCCCCTCCCACAGCTAGGTGTTTGTTCTGCCACCTGTCTGCCTTCTCATCGTAAAAAGTAGGACAGCGAGAAAGCCCGAGACACCCAAGACCTTCCAGAGAGGGGGCGTGGTTGAAGAGGAGGAGAATATGTGACCTTATAATCCAAGTTCAGATAGAGACAGACCCCAACCCGTTATAGTTTTAGAAAGAGAAGCTGTAAACACTTTATATAATGTCAGAATATAAACAGGAGTGTTCGTTACGTACTCCTCTGGAGAAGCGGTAGAAAGCCGTCATCGGAGCCATCAGCAGCATCTTGATGATGACCACAGCAGCATATGTGGTGAAGGCCTTGAACACCTCATCGTCCATCAGCTTAACCATGACAGCAGTTTACTGCTCAACACCAACGAAGAAGAGACGGGAGGTCAATCTACAGCTCTGTCCGAACACACGTTTTAAATTTAGACAAACCTGGTTAAAAAATGAGAGCGAGAGAGAGAGAGAGAGAGCGCTCTGCAGAGACCTGTGTGTGTGTGTGTGTGTGTGTGTGTGTGTGTGTGTGTGTGTGTGAGGAATGTGTTTAAAGATTAACTGATAGTCTCAGTTTCAGTCCGGCTGCACTGACACATTCACTAAAGTTTCATTGTTCTCTCCTGCAGGTTTAAGTAAAGTATATTTTTTCTAAATGAATCAAACATTAAAGATAATCAGTTTGAGGACAGAGAGACTCAGAGCTGATCTTACCTGTCGCGATGACTCTGCAAAAGTGTTGCTAACCTCTTACCCAGAGACTGAGGGGGCAGAGCTACAGCACAATAACAAACTTGTTCCTGAGGGGGGGGGGGGGGTGGGAGTTCCTGTTTGCACTCGTGATCCTGTTATTCAGCAGCCTGAGGAGGAGTTTAAAGAAGAACTTTACCAGAAGCTGTTTACTTTATAATTCTGTGTAAACAAAAGACTGACCACCAGTTGGTGCTCACAGTGAACACACAGAGGTCCTGATCACTAATGTTCACTAACTGTTCTAATGACGTTGATTATCTTCTTGAGATGGCTTCAGACTGACGGGACTAAACCTCAGTGATGCCCTGGATCTGACTGCCCATTGGTCAACACACCTTCATATGATTCCCATCTGTCTTTCTCCATTCACCTTCCAGCCCTACATATCAAACATCACCATACCCTACCTGTCTGCACCTACCTGTCTCACCTACCTGTCTTACCTACCTGTCTGCACCTACCTGTCTTACCTTCTTGTCTACACCTATCTGTCTGCACCTACCTGTCTGCACCTACCTGTCTCACCTACCTGTCTTACCTTCTTGTCTACACCTATCTGTCTGCACCTACCTGTCTGCACCTACCTGTCTTACCTTCTTGTCTACACCTACCTGTCTGCACCTACCTGTCTTACCTTCTTGTCTACACCTACCTGTCTGCACCTACCTGTCTCACCTACCTGTCTACACCTACCTGTCTACACCTACCTGTCTGCACCTACTTGTCTTCACCTTCCTGTCTCACCTTCCTGTCTTACCTAACTGTCTTACCTACCTGTCTTACTTAACTGTCTTACCTACCTGTCTTCACCTTCCTGTCTTCTCCTTCCTGTCTTACCTTCCTGTCTTTTCCTTCTTGTCTTACCTACCTGTCTTCACCTTCCTGTCTTACCTACCTGTCTTCACCTTCCTGTCTTTTCCTTCTTGTCTGTACCTACCTGTCTTACCTACTTGTCTTATCTACCTATCGTCACCTACCTGTCTTACCTAACTGTCTTCACCTTCCTGTCTGCAGCTACCTGTCTTACCTAACTGTCTTACCTACCTGTCTTCACCTACCTGTCTTACCTTCCTGTCTTCTCCTTCTTGTCTGTACCTACCTGTCTTACCTACTTGTCTTATCTACCTATCTTCACCTACCTGTCTTACCTAACTGTCTTCACCTTCCTGTCTGCAGCTACCTGTCTTACCTAACTGTCTTACCTACCTGTCTTACCTACCTGTCTGCACCTACCTGTCTAACCTACCTGTCTTCACCTACCTGTCTTACCTAACTGTCTTACCTACCTGTCTTACCTAACTGTCTTACCTACCTGTCTTCACCTACCTGTCTTACCTACCTGTCTGCACCTACCTGTCTTACCTACCTGTCTTACCTACCTGTCTGCACCTACCTGTCTTACCTACCTGTCTTCTCCTTCCTGTCTTACCTTCCTGTCTTCTCCTTCCTGTCCGCACCTACCTGTCTTACCTACCTGTCTTACCTACCTGTAAGTTTTAATGTAAGTCTGTATTTGGGTCCTCTCCTTGTTGCTCTCCATGAACAGCTGAAAGTTGATGAACAAGCTAACAGATAACGAACTCAGTCAGACGATCAGCCCAAAGATCATTCCCTTCTTTTTCATTTCAAGGATTTTAAACCAAACTGTTGTGTTTTCTTTGGTTCTCCTTCTGTTGTTCTGTTGTGACGACACCACATGATTATAACCTCTAGAAACAACACCCTGAGTGGGCGGGGCCGTCTCCCTCCCCCCACAGCGAGTCAGTGTACCTTTAATGTTTACCTGTACCAGGACCTGTACCCCACTGATCCCACACCTGCAGCACAGAGAACCTCCATCTTTGTTCAGTGTCTGTGTTTGGGTCCTCTCCTTGTTGTTCTGTCTAACACGTGATGGGCAGTCCGACTTTCTTTGAGACTGTTTTGCATGATAAACCGGAGAAGTCATCAGCACTAAATATCAAACTTTAGAACAGTTTCATTCTAACGTTTGTGACTCGACATTAAACTATGATGGAATAAAACACAGCTCAGAACCCTATAACCAAGAAAACTTATAAAGATATGAAGAAATCTTTTCCTCTCCCCAGAAACAGAAGCCCTCTGTGTGATTCCTCCTCGTCTTCGTACGTCTCCTCTCATCCTCGTCTTCATCGTTCCATCAAAGTGGAGTGAACGCGGCGTGAACGTGGCGTCTGCAGACTGTGCCCAGACTTCAGCTGTGTGCATCACGATCACTTTGGTCTCAAACATTTCTGTCGTGTCTCTTTAATCAGACGAGTGTCAGGTGGAGGTGTTTGGAGAGCCAGGAGCTTTACACAGTCTGAGGCGAACAAAGAGCCGAGTCGTCTCAGCGTGAGGCGCTTTGAACACACGCACCAATCACCTGATGAAGACACCATGCTCATTATTTCTCCTCCCAGTCAGCCCTGTGCAGGTACACTCAGTCAGGGAGGGGGGGGGCTCAAACTCTAACTCTGTGCTCATCATTTTACTGTTTGTCCTCAGGCTGTTTTCAATCATCCAATATATGTGATAGCATGATGCTAACAACAGAAGACATGCTAACAGAGGAAGTTTTCCTCTCGTTCCCTGTCTGCCCTGTTTTGAGCTTCAGACGAGTTCATACCAGGGTATCAAATATCAATCAATACAACCTGGATCTGAAGGTTTAAACCAAACAACAAACCTCTGAGTCTGAGGAAGGAAGCCAACATCGAAGTCCCAAAATCTGCAGTTCCTCCAGTGTCCACTAGGGTCTGTCTCCTGCGGTGAGTCAGCCCCCATAGAGCCCCACGTTAAAATGTCTAACTTTACAGCTACAGTTCCTCTAATGTTCTCTAATGTTCAAGCTTTGTTGCCATGGTTACAAACAGGTATCAGTATTGTTTAACTTTTACTAGAATCATATCTAAGTTTAAAATGATGGTGTGGTGACGACTCTTCTGAACAGGCTGAATTAGAAATCACGCGTTGAAAAAAGATATGACGTAGAATAAGGGGCGTGGCAACAAGACGTGCATTAGAAAATAAAGTTAAATAAACTGATCGTCCTGCAAAAGATCAGAGAAACACAAGAGGCAACATCTTAACCCTCGAATGTGATGAGAGGCATTTTAACGGGGAACATGTGAAACCTGCAGGCGTCCTGCTGAGCGGTCTGAGCGGTCAGGGTGTGTTCGTTCCCCCGCACTTCACTGAACTAAAGCAAAGCACTCTGGGATATCGGGGAAGGGGGGGGTATCAGAGTCTCATTATGGCTGTTTTTAACAGAGTGCTTCTCTGTGTGCACGCTGCAGACGGCTCCACGCTCTCCTCTCAGCCTCACTGAGGACATAAATCTCCAGTGAGCGGGATAATTAGCCAGATAATTTTATCCATAACGATGCACGTCAGTCAGAGGAGCTGATGAAATTAAGGAACGTCTTCAGTGTGAAATCTCTGCCCACATTATTCAAGTGTCAGGGGACTGGGGGGGGGAGAAGTCTGAGAAACTTTTCCTTCTATAAAAGGCTGATTCATAAATCCTCCCAGTGTGAGCGCCGAGTGTGAGACAGAGTTTCTCCTTCAGGATTCAAAACAGAGGTGAAATCTGCAGGAGCTGAACGTCTGTTTAAAGAGAGCTTACACATACAGAAACCTCTAGCAGAGGTTACAGGTGAGAGGAGAGCTCCTGCAGGTCAGGAACATACCGTCACTCGAATGTCTTCAGAACTCAGTGAAGAGCAGCTCAATACTTCTTCTGTTCTGTATGTTTGACTCCTCGTTCAGCTGGTCACTATTGGCCCTTCTTCCTGTTGATCTACGACGTCACTAAACAAAGAAACAAGTAAACAAGTAGCCAGCTGTTGAATGATGAGAACTTTGCCTCTGACTCGCGTCTGCTTCTCTCTTCATGCCTTCGTCTTGTTTTCTTCTTCTACACGTTCACAATTTTTGACTTACAGGTCAGAGGTCAGAGGTGGGTGTGTGTGTTTCTCTCATAAACAGCAGTAGTTCTTCGTCTTTAAAACATGAACGTGACGATACGAGACCCTCTAACATCACATCATCGCTCACACACCAACAACAGAGTGTGACAGAATTAGAGCTCGCCCACAGGGACACACACACACACACACACACACTTTACTTCTGTTGTCTTTTGAAGTTATTCCCATTTTCAGGAGAACAGCGAAGAGGAGGAGGAGTTGTGTGTGTGTGTGTGTGTGTGTGTGTGTGTAGGTTACAGCTACTTGTCCCCTCGATGGATCCTCAAAGATCTTAAACCATAAAGAAGGTCTATTGCTGCGTTCCATTTACCTCAGCACTCGGAAGTCGGAACTGGGAATGACGTCACACCCGAGATAACTGCGTTCCAGTTGCAAGTCGGGAAAAGCAACATGGCCGCCTCCAGGAGTACCTTTGTTTTGTTAGCTAATACCAGACGATAACAACACACAACATGACAGTTTCATGCCAACACCTCCACAGAGAGAAGTTGCACCATCGGTGTGTGATTGATTTAATTACACAAAAAGACGCCTAAGCTGCAAATAAACTCAACAGTTACATCTTAACATCCTTTCGATGCACGTAGCAGCCATATTGGATCGGAACTCGGGCTACTTTTTTTTTTTTTTTTCAGAGTTTCCGAGTTGTAATTACGACTTCAGGGGGCGTTCCAGTTGACACTTCCGACTGGGAACTGGGAATTTCCCACTTACGAGATCAACTGGAACGCACCATGTTACTCAGATGGTCAGACAGTTGCTCCGTACCGTGCTCGATTGTCCCCCCCCTCCCCCTCCCCTCCCCTCCCCTCCCCCTCCCCGCTGGCCTGCACCCTGAGCGTCCGGACATCAGACAACAACAAAGAGAACATGACAGCTACTTTACTGACTGCGTGTCTTACTGTGAGTCATGTTAAGTCAGATGCAGACAGAACAGTGCAGGGTTTCTCCTGAATGAAGGCGGTCCACGTTGTGTACCCGTGCTTGGGCTCGTGTATGAACTGTACCGTGATTCAGGACCGAGGAAGACTGAGCACGGATCAGAGAGATCACACTGGTCACACGAACTGACTTTAGGGGTGAGGCGTGCTTAGGCATGGTACAGATTGCCTTTAGTGTGAGTGCGCCCTTAATGATCAGCGCACACACACACACTCAGTTTGTTCTCACTAACTTTACAGCATCTTGAAGCCCCTCCCCCTGCCTTGCCCTCCTCCAATGTCAGTGCTCACTTCAAAGGAGTCCCAGAGACCCCCCCCCCCCCAAAACAGACACACAGACACACACACCTCTATACACTCATATCATGTGTGTGTGTGTAGACAGGTGAGTGTGAACCTGTTTGATCTTTAAACATGTATTCTCTCTGTTCTCTCCACCGGGGAGCCTCAGTCCAAGGTCAGCCTCGTAGGCAGGGTGCATCATGGGGAAAAAGAGGCTGAGCGCATCAGGGGAACGAACCTGACTGCCCGCCCCACTTCCTGTTCCCGCTGCCGTTTGAAACTTAAGACGTTAAACTCGTCATGATGTCACACAATGATGTCATTACAAATGAATGATTCACTTTATTAACGAAGAGAATGTTGAAATATTCCACAAATTCTCTTTAAATATTTATATGAAGTTTACTTACACATAATATATATACATACACATGACGTTTAAAATAATAAAGTATTTAAAATCAGCAGTAAACTCTAATAATTTAACAGCTGATCTTTAAAACAGAACTTTACATTATATACAGTTTCCGTCTGTCTGTCTGTCCTCTCAGAGATGATTTATGATTCAGGTTTTTAAAATCGTGAATAAAATTATGAAATCAAAGAATCAAACAGTCGTGTGAGAAAACATTGGAAATGTAAAATGTGGATTAATAAAAAAGGTGAACTCTAAAGAAATGATCCTCATTATCTTGATTTAAATGAATGTAGGGTTATTTAATGAGACACGTAAGAGAGAGACGTACCGTGATAAATCTGCAGAGAGTCTGATGAAAGAATCCTCCAGAGCGCCCGAGAGACACGAGGAGAACATCTGCAGGAATGCAGCTCCACCAGTATAACAGTAAAACAGTTTGATCAGCATCATCGAGTATAACCAGTTTACCCAGAGTCCTGTGCGGTCCTTCTCTCGTCTTTTCTAACTTGTGTGAAAACATCAGACGCCATCTTTTATTATAATCTTTATTAACTGAATCACATGAAAACTTTCAGAGCCTGAAATCATTCTGCTGTGAGTGTGTTCAACAGAAACATGGATCAATGTGTGTGTGTGTGTGTGTGTGTGTGTGTGTGTGTGTGTGTGTGTGAAGTGTTGTGTGTGAGGAGGTCATTAAACAGGACGTCACATGATCAGGCCATCGGCAGCTCGTGATAGGCTGCGTACTGTCCAGTCACATGATGGTAGATCTAAAAAAGAGAAAGAACAAAGAAGAGGTAAAGTGGTGTGTGTGTGTGTGTGTGTGTGTGTGTGTGTGTGTGTGTGTTGTAATATACGTTTGTATTGTATCTCTTCCTCACTGTCTCTCGATGTCGGCCAATAGGCTGCTTGCTCGAGGCGGAACAGGTGTGGGTGGAGCCAGTCGTCTCCCAGCTCTTCCTTTATGAGCGCGAGCCACAGCAGAGACTCCTGAGCCGTCCTGATCCCCCCGCAGGTTTAAAGCCCACCTACACACACAGTATAGAATATCTATATGTTCTGTTTCGATAAGTCAGATGTGATGTGTAGTCAAATAAGCGGTTACACTGATTCATGATTATAGATCACCTGGTACAGGTGTGGTCACTGTACTTGTGTCTGTAGACAGGTAGTAGTCCCTGATGGCTCTCACCATCACTATGGCAACAGGGTAGGTAGCGTTGACAGTTTCTTTACCTGTTGACGTCTTAATGAAGTCTGAACCTGTCGAGTCACACACACGCACACGCACACGCACACACGCACATTCATAAATCATGAATATATAAATGATAATGTTATAAAAGCTATCAGGACAGATCTTCCCTGGCCGGGTCTCCCAAGGCAAACTTGTCCCAAATTGGGGATGGGACGACTAAAAGCGGATTAAAAAAGCCTTTGAAGCAGCAGAAGCCTGGGTGGACTGGGAACGTCTCGCAGCGGCCTCCAGTCCGTGAGGTAATGAACTCCCACCTCTGGTGGAATTTGTCTTTCTGAGCCGTCGGATAGTTTGCCAGAGTTTCCTCGATGCCAACCAAAAGTCCTTCTCCATAGTCTGCTAGAACTCCTCCCACACCAGGTTTTTGGTTCTGTAACCACAGCCCTCCGAGTCAGCAGAAACATGTCCGCTGCTTCCAGAGACCCCTGGGCTCACCAAACCTCAAAGGACTCCTTCTTCAGCCTGACAGCTTCCGTCAAGGTTGCCGCCATGACGTGGCATCGATTGTTTTCTGGTTGCAACTCCTAGCAGACACTTCCACAATGGAGGCTTTGAAAATGGACCATTTGGACTCCATGTCCCCAACCTCCCCAGGGATAAAAGGGAAAGTGGGGCTTGTCCCAGGCTGTTAACAGCAGGGGTGGAGAACTTGCTGACCCGGACTGGGGATATCAGTCCGGGTCAGCAGGGGGAAGGAATCATTTTAGGAACTCCTGAACCCAACCAACCAGTCCTCTGAAGGGGAGGCAGAGCAATAATGTTATAACTATAATCACTGTCAGGATGTGTTTATAGTACTCTACATTATTAACCTTTAATAACCTGTACAGGTAAACAGAGGAGGAGCTGACCCCTGCTGTGACTGAACATCTGCTACTGTTAATGGTTAACTTGCTGCTGCGTCATCAATAATCTCCGTTCTTCGCTCTGTGTCCGTCGTGTGTTATCGGCTTTCTGATAAAAATAGAAGATGAAGTGAGGCTGGTTAATAGATTACCCACAATTCCCTGCTCTGTGGTGAAATGACGCTTCATTACTGCAGAGTGAGACGAACGTTTTCAGTCCATTAAAGACGAGTTCAGAGTGTTTCTGCAGCTCAGGCTTAATTACACTTAATGGATCAAATTATTAACGAGCTGCACAATGAATTCACTGCCTGTTACAGGTCAGTGTGTGTGTGTGTGTGTGTGTGTGTGTGTGTGTGTGTGTGTGTGTGTGTGTGTGTGTGTGTGTCTGTGTGTGTGTGTGTGTGTGTGTGTGTGTGTGTCTGTGTGCATGTGTGTTTGTGTCTGTCTGTGTGCAAGTGTGTTTGTGTGTTTGTGTGTTAATATAAGAAGTTACTTTTCTCGATCTCTAAGATTGAGCAGCAGCGTGGACACCAAGACATTTTAATAATCATCTCTGGCCTTTATAAGCTGCTCTGTGAGTGTGAGTGTGAGTGTGAGTGTGAGTGTGTGTGTGTGTGTGTGTGTGTGTGTGTGAGAGAGAGAGAGAGAGAGCAAGAAAAGTTGAGCAGCAGCACCACCAACAGATGACAGCAGGAATTACAGCGAGCATGTAACTGTGTTTAAATACAAACTTTGACTCATTTTCAAAGTTTGCAAGAAGAAGAAGAAGTTTGTTCAGTGAATGTGAATAATCAGATCGTTTGGTCGTGACTGATCAATGAACTCTAGGGACCGAAATGTGTTTTGTAACGATAACGTTTTAAAGTCGTCTGTGGTGATGATTAGTTGATGACCTTCTGTTCTGATAAAAACAAAGGGTCTGATGACTGGCAGGGAATATTTTTGTTCTATAAATGGGCACCTTTATATATAAAACCAGATTTATTGTTTTCTTACAGGAGGACACCTCTAGAGGGCAGCAGAGCTCAGGCTGTATATAGCTACCTGATGTGTAGGACATAAACTACAAACATGGAGACACTGGAGGAGGCCACTGTGATGTAAACTCTAATATCATTACAGACTTGTTCTATCAGCTTGTCTTTAGAACTTTCTGTCAGTGTAGTTCCTGCTGCTCTGTTCAATCTGTCACATCCCCTCTAACTCTACACTGCCCCCTACAGGTCAGGTTCACACCGTAGCTTGTGGCTGCTTAGCGTTAATGTTTGAACATGTGAACAGCTGGTGCTCCAATCAGACTCAGATCAGCCATCATGCTGAAGAGAACAGGTAGTTCAAGTTTATCTCCTGACACGTACCCGCCATCATGGCCACCAGGCTGGCTTTGTAGACGTTGGTGAAGGTACCAAGCTCTCCGATGGCGAGGATGGTCTTCATGTGAGCGTCTCCACAGGCCTGACGAAACTGACAGATCTCATCGTACAGAGCTGCCGAGAGAGCGAGAGAGAGAGAGAGAGAGAGGTACTTAACACACTGTAAATACCTCATCACCATGTGTGTTCATTCTTCCATTCAGCAGGTGTGTGTGTTGAGTGTTTATTGACCTGTGTTGATAAGCATCATATTTGTATGTTTGTATATTTAAGTCTCATGTTGTTGTTTATCTTCAGACCTCAGAGTGACTGAAAACACTTCCTGTTTCTCCTTGGTCATGTCACCTCAGCGTACCTTCCCATTGTCCCGTGATGGCGAGTGTTCGGTTGATGACGATGTCGATCTCTGCCGCTCCATCAGACACCGCCAGGCGCACTTCCTGAAGGCGGGTCTCTAACGGGGTCTGACCTGCTGGGAAACCAGTCGCCACTGGGAAAGAAAGAGAGAGAGAGAGAGAGTAAAATAGATAGACTAAACAGACCATAGAGGGTTCAGACAGGTGAGACTCAGACTCAGGTGAGCTCCACACTGCAATTTAAAAAGTAAATCCAGAGGTTTTCCACACTCTGAAACTCACATCAGCTCACCTGAGTGCACACAGGAAGTTTACCAGCAGGCTGCCTGGAGAGAAACTCAGAGGTAAAGATGGAGTGAGTTTTGTACATGTGCTCGGGGCATTTGATTGAGGTGTGTTCGGGTCATGTAATTTACCTGAGAGGTGTGTTAGGGTCATGTGATTTACCTGAGAGGTGTATTAGGGTCATGTGATTTACCTGAGAGGTTTGTTCGGGTCATGTAATTTACCTGAGAGTGTGTTAGGGTCATGTGGCTCACCTGAGAGGTGTATTAGGGTCATGTAATTTACCTGAGAGGTGTGTTAGGGTCATGTGACTCACCTGAGAGGTGTATTAGGGTCATGTAAATTTACCTGAGAGGTGTGTTAGGGTCATGTGGCTCACCTGAGAGGTGTTTAGGGTCATGTGGCTCACCTGAGAGGTTTGTTCGGGTCATGTGATTCACCTGAGAGGTGTATTAAAGTCATGTAATTTACCTGAGAGGTGTATTAGGGTCATGTGACTCACCTGAAGCCACAGGTAGGCTAGAGTTTGCAGCTTTAAGAGATTTAACAGCATCAGGAACACGTGCAGGATACACACACACTGCTGCTGTGGTTACACCTGGAGATACACAACATACACAACATTACACAACATAACACACACAGTGCTGCTGTGATCGTCTCTAGAAAACGACATATACAGCAGAGTACAGAATGATACAGTGTCACCCCCTGCTGGATGAACTCAGGCATTACCATGTCGTCAGACCAACCTGACGACTGGCCGGCTTCTGATTTGCATGCTGTGTGTGTGTCTGTTGTGTGTGTGTCCGTTGTGTGTGTGTCCGTTGTGTGTGTGTCCGTTGTGTGTGTGTCCGTTGTGTGCGTGTCTGTTATATGTGTGGGTCTGCAGTGAACCTTTGTTGTGCATGTCCATGCTCTTCAGCAGGTCACATCTGATTGGCTGGACAGCTTTCAGACACAGACGGTGGACGTTGGACGGAGTGTCATCTCCCGCCAGAGTGGTCAGGTCGATACAGGTGACCGCCTTCAGGAGCCACGCCGCCTGCATGAAGGAAACACAAAAAGAGAGTATGACACAGACTAGCAGAGTGTCAGTGTGTCTCCATGTTCATCCTTCAGGAGCCACACCACCTACAGTGTAAAAAGGAGAGTACAGGTGAGTACAGGTGAGGACAGGAGAGTACAGGAGAGTACAGGTGAGTACAGGAGAGTACAGGAGAGTACAGGTGAGTACAGGAGAGTACAGGAGAGTACAGGAGAGTACAAGTGAGTACAGGTGTGTACAGGTGAGTACAGGAGAGTACGGGAGAGTACAGGAGAGTACAGGTGAGTACAGGAGAGTACAGGTGAGTACAGGTGAGTACAGGAGAGTACAAGTGAGTACGGGTGTGTACGGGTGAGTACGGGAGAGTACGGGAGAGTACAGGAGAGTACGGGTGAGTACGGGAGAGTACGGGAGAGTACAGGAGAGTACAGGTGAGTACAGGAGAGTACAGGTGAGTACAGGTGAGTACAGGAGAGTACAAGTGAGTACGGGTGTGTACGGGTGAGTACGGGAGAGTACGGGAGAGTACGGGAGAGTACAGGAGAGTACAGGTGAGTACAGGTGAGTACAGGAGAGTACAGGAGAGTACAGGTGAGTACAGGAGAGTACAGGAGAGTACAGGTGAGTACCTGCCACTGTTTCTTCGGTGTCTTCAATCCCTGTATCTGCTGAGCTCTCTTGAGGACGGCCTGAGTGTTCACCCTCACCTTAGACACCCACTGCAGGTCTGACACACAGGAGCAAAGCATTGTGGGAAAAAACAACACAAAGAACAGAGTTTAATCTTTATGATTTTTAAAGTGACAGAACACTTATTAACTAATGATCGTCCTGTAAGCATGATTAAATAAAATAAACAAGTTAATGAGATATAAATGTAGTTATTTAAAGTCACAGGGTTGGGTTTGGAACCAAGGGGTCGCCGGTATGAGACCCGGTGCAGACCGAGATGAAATTGGGTCTGTTCACTCCCCTCCCTCTGATCCTGTTTGTGCATTCCTCTGTAATTCAGCCCCTGTGTGTGTGTGTGTGTGTGTGTGTGTGTGTGTGTGTGTGTGTGTGTGTGTGTGTGTGTGTGTGTGTGTGTGTGTCATGACTGACTGTCATGAGATCTACATTAACTTCAAGTCTGACTGTCAGCAGAGCTACTGTTCGAGCTAAGTGTGTGTGTGTGTGTGTGTGTGTGTGTGTGTGTGTGTGTGTGTGTGTGTGTGTGTGTGTGTGTGTGTGTGTGTCTTCTTCAGGTCAGTCCCCTCTATAACATGTTACTCATTAATCAGACTGAACTGACTCTGTTCTGTTAAACACATATAAACACATGTATATGAAACACATGCATGTTAAACACATGTATTTACTCATGTACTAACACTAGATCTGATGTTATGATTAATGTAAGATACTGATGCATAAATACCGGTGTGAAGGTTAAAACAGTGACCGTGTTAACTGGTGACTTGAACGCGTCCTGTGTGTTTCTATGTTTTCTGTAGTTTTTATTGTGACGTCACATTTACTCCTCAGATAAGCCTTTAATAAACAGTTACTCACCTGGACTGTCACCAGTTAACACGGTCACACTTTGACCCGAAACACTGAGCACACGTGTTTAAATGCAGGAAGCTCGTGTTTAACGTAAAGAAGTGACGTCATTAACGGCTCCGGTAAAGGTTAGTGTCTCTTACCGAGTTTAGTCCCGGGGTTTCTCGCAGACATGACGAAGATTAATTAAAGAACAGATGTGGAAAAGAACACATCCACCTCTGCACAGTAGAGTTACCGACACTCCTCCACCTTCTTCTTCTGCCTTTGATTTGCTAACCAGGTGCAGTACCGCCACCTGTCGGACTGGAGTGTGGCGCAGTGGGGGGAAAAGGCAGCATAAAAAAAGTTTTGTTTCCTTCCAAGGTTTTGTTTCCTTCCAAGGTTTTGTCAGCTGTTCATCTGTTCCCTGAAACGTGTCTCAGTTCATATATTCTACCGGCTTACAACCTCCTATATATATTTATATATATAAGGTATAGACAGTACATAGGGTATAGCCTATATATTAAATACAAGAGGTTTATACATAGAGCTTAAACTACAAAAATGATTTAAGAACCCTGTAAAAGATGAGACAAACACATGAACATTATAAAACATATATTTCTTATGTATTGCGTTCCATTAAAAAGCAGTGAGTATATAAAGGTTTGCTTCTTTAATGAGGCGGGGGGCAGTAGCTCAGTCTGTAGGAACTTGTGTTGGGAACCGGAGAGACGCCGGCTCAAGTCCCGGCACGGACCAAGTCTGGAAATTGGCCTGGTAGCTGGAGAGGTGCCAGTCCATCTCCTGAGCACTGCCGACGTGCCCCGGAGCAATGCACCGACCCCCACCACCGGCTCTGGAGCGCTCGCTGTGGGCAGCCCCCTCCCTTCCGAGACCCCTCCATTAATGCATGTCCACAGGTGCTTGTGCATGTGTGTGTAACATGTTCATTTTCCCCTCGCGAGATCATTTATTGATCCTGAACTTTGGCCTGAATTAATTGATCATTTCTCCTCTGACAACAAAATAACAATCAACACCTGTCTTCAGGTAAACACAGTCATCATCATATCAACCCAACAACAACCTGTGTGTGTGTGTGTGTGTGTGTGTGTGTGTGTGTGTGTGCGCGCCGTCTCCACCCTGAGGTTTCTCTTTATGATGAGCTGAAGTTTTAAAGCTGCCACGATCAAACTGAGAATCAAACAGGAAGTTGTCACCTGTACGATCAACAGAGGAGGAGGAGGAGGAAGGAGGAAGGGCAGGATGAGGAGGAGGAGCAGGAGGAGAAAAGAGGAGGAGGAGGAGAAGCAGGAGAAAGGAGGAGGATGAGGAGGGGGAGGAGGAGGAGGAGGAGCAGCAGGAGGAGGAAGAGGGTCAGGAAGAGGAGGAGGATGAGGAGGAGGTTTTATCCTGCACCCTCCTCCTCCTCCTCTTCCTCCTCCTCCTCCTCTTCCTCCTCCTCTTCTCCTCTTTCCTGTAGAGAAAAACAAGATGATTCAGTTTAACTCTCAGTTCATAATGCAGAAAATCTCTTGTGTGTGTAATCATATGTGTATTTTCACGTGTGTGTTTTCAGGTGAGTGTGCCTCACCTGAGCAGAGGTCTTCTGGATGTCTTGCTGAGGCTGCAGGAGAGAAGAGAAGGTCACAGCGGTCGAGGATTTTAACTTCAGCATCACTTCCTGTTTGATGTGAAAACACTTTAAATATATGCAAAGGGAGTTTACACCACCTCACAATAATGTGTGTGTGTGTGTGTGTGTGTGTGTGTGTGTGTGTGTGCCTCAAGCAGACTCACCCACTTCCTGGGTCGTCCTCGTGGTCTCTTCTCCGCGCTCGCCTCAGACATCTGAACAGATCAGGAGAGATATAATTAATAAGATATTTAATCAATAATGTAACAACACACATAGGTGGAGCCTATGCCAGCCTGTCTGTCAATTAGATAGGCCACGCCCCTCATTGTGAATAACTCTTTTTCTTTACAAAATAAAGTTATTAAATAATTCTCGCACCGTTCAGCGTGTGCTAAAAAAGAGTGTGCGTGTGTGTGTGTGTGTGTGTGCGTGAGTGTGTGTGTGTTTATTATTAATTTGGACTTGAAACAGGAACCCTGATGAATTAATGATCTTATGGTTTAATGTTTCTCAGTGTGAAACTTGAACCCTAACCCTGTGTGTCCTCTGTCCTTCAGGTGTGTCCTTGTCACCTTGGTTGCTGCCTTGGGTGGTCCCTTGTTCTTGCTTCCTTTGGGACGGCCCCTCTGTCTCTTTGGGAGGGGATCTCCACTGGGATTCTGGCGGAAGGGGGTGGGGGGTGGGGGGGTTATTAAAGCTGAGTCAGTTAAAGAGTGTCCACACACACACACACACACACACACACACACACACACACCTCCAATAAATAATAACTATCATTAGACTATTCAACAATTCACCTTTAAACCCGAGCTTACCCGAGCCCACCCCAGACCTGGGCTCACCTTGTGGGACCTGGGTCTCCCGGGTCTCCTCTTTTGCTCTGCGGGCCCCGAGGTCTCGGCTGCCTCCTCTCTGCGTGCAGTGCTCATGTCTCCCGGAGCTCAGTCCTCCCAGTGTTCCGAAAGAACAACAGAGAAACTGGAGAGTTACCTGCTCAGGTTATCCACTGACCACACCGATACCCAAAGAGACCCGGGTCAGACTGCAGCTCAGAGAGACCGGCCCTGCTCAGATCTCACACACAGCCGGCTGCAGTCCTGTGTGTGTGTGTGTGTGTGTGTGTGTGTGTGTGTGTGTGTGTGTGTGTGCGTGCGTGTTGTGTGTCACAGATTCAACATTTAAATCTACAGGTGGAATCAGACAGAATCTGAGTTATAAACTTATATTGTTGGACCAAAGATGAAAAACACACACACACACACACACACACACACACACACTCACACACACGCACAGGTTTCCCACACTGCCTCAGCCTACAGGCTACATTCAGTTTTTTCATAAAAACTCTCTCAGACCCCACAAAAGAGGAGGAGGGGGGGGGGGGGGACATCAACATCAAACCAATAGATCAATGTCTGCATCAGTACTGTTTCCCACAATGCAAAGCGTCAGGTCAGAGGTCAAATTGATGGACAGCAGCATCCATTGTAACAGAGGAAATAATCTCAATCAGACCAAACCACACAAAGAGACCACCGGTTATCTTTGTTTGATTCTCTTAAATCATGAAAATCTAAATCTAAATGAATCTCAGACTCTAAGTGGACTCTACTCTGTAGTGGCGTCTGATGTCAGCTGGGCTGTTGTTAACTTCCTCATTCCAAGACCAGAAACCAACTTAGGCTGGCCTGGTGCAGAATAACCA